TCCAGCTAGCATGGCATTTGAACATATTGGCTAGAAATCATGCTAGTTACAGTCTGATAGAATGGTTCCCAACCTTGGGTAGCCCAGGTGTTCTCTCTGCAGTTCCCAGAAGCCTTCACCACCAGCTGTACTGGCTGGAGTTTCTGAGAAGTGCAGTTTGGTCCCCCACTGCACATAAGAGCTTTTCACTTTCTCTTAAATCTTTCCCTTCTTTCATTTTTTTCATATAGTTGTAAACTGGTTTGGCTCAGATGCCACTCTTCTATCAATTTTCTGGATCAATCACTAGCACCAGCTGTCCAATTCATGTATATAGAATTACTATATGTTTTAATTTGCTTATTTAGGCTACTACTTCTGCTAGAATGTGGAACACAGGAAAACAAGCCAAAAGATAAATCAAAGCCAGATTTTGCATTTGCTTAACACATGTTGGGAAGTCTGGGAGAAGGCAGCTGTTATGACTATGGGCTGAAATCAGAACAAGAACGTCTAACCTTGTGCCCTTGCTTGGGATAATGGGACAAGATTGTATTTATTTAGAGAACACAGCAGCATCCTCAGTTGGATCCTTCCACCAGTGCTCAGGTTCTTGCAAAATGGATACCATATGAATTATCCAAGATTTATTTATCTAATCCATATGCACTGTTACTAGAAGTCAACGAATGGGCCTTTCCTCAAAGTGCTGGCCTGTGGAATTTATTTATTTATTATTTTATTTATTTATTTGATTTATACCCCGCCTATCTGGACTACTCGTCCACTCTAGGCGGCTTCCAATGTAAGATAAAACAATAAAACACAAGAATATACATAATCCTTCGATGACAATTACAGTAAAAAGAAGAAAAATAAGAAGAGAAAAATAGAAAAGAAATCAGGTATTAACTGGAGGGAAGGCCTGGATGTACAACCATGTTTTCAATTGGGTTTTAAAGACGCCCAGCATAGGGGCTGCGCAAATCACCGGAGGGAGATTGTTCCAGAGGCGGGGAGCCACCGCCGAGAAGGCCCGGTTTCGTGTCTTTTCCTTCCGGGCCTCTCTCGGCGTCAGGCTCCTCAGCCTCACCTCCTGACTAGCACGGGTCATCCGGGTAGACCTAGATGGGAATAGATGTACCGCCAAAAATCGAGGTCCTAAACTGTTTAGGGCCTTGTAAGTAAGCATTAAGACTTTGAAGTTGATGCGGAAACGAATGGGCAGCCAATGCAGTGCGGCCAGAGTTGGAGAAATATGTTGGAAGTTTCTCACTCCAGTAAGGAGTCTGGCCGCCGCATGCTGCACCACCTGAAGTTTCCTAGTCAGCCTCAAAGGTAGCCCCATGTAGAGTGTGTTACAGTGATCTAATCTTGAGATTATGAGCGCATGCACCAAGGTAGTGAGTGCCCCCGTGTCGAGGTAGGGCCGCAGCCGGGCAATCCACCAAAGGTGGAAAAAGGCGGTGCGGACTACCAACGCCACCTGCGTTTCCATGGTGAGCGTCGGGTTCAAATGTATGCCCAAGCTGCGGACCCCACTCTTTGTGGCCAGGGTCACCCCCCCAAACATGAGAGAGTCACCCAGACCACTAGCCACAGGGCCACCCACCCTCAGAACTTCCGTCTTGTCCGGGTTCAATCTCAGCCCATTCTCCTGCATCCATTGCAGTACGGCCCCCAGGCAGCGCTGAAGGGACAGGATGGCATCACCTGCAGTTGGTGAAAAGGAGATGTAGAGCTGAGTGTCATCAGCATATTGATGACAAGATGCCCCACACCCCCTGATGACCCCTCCCAGTGGCCTCATATAGATGTTAAACAGCATTGGGGAGATGATTG